GACGCAGCACCAGAGCGCACACCTCAGCTCTGACCTCCCCGCACCCGGCCCATTTTGAGAATGAGTGACGGGCCTGCAGCTGGCGGCCTGGGTGTGTGGGCAAGGGGAAGAGACGGGGCGGCAGCGGGGGTCTGGCGTGAGCAGCTGGCTGGTGGTGTCGGTTTTCTGAGAAGGTCTGGGCGGGCCTGGGGAGGGCGGGGTCCAGAGTCCCCTCCGGCACCTGTTCAGCGGAGCTGCCTGTGAGGCATCCACTCACGGCGGCCACTGTGTTTACAAGTCGGGGGTTTGGGGGCGTCGGGGTTGGAGCCACAAACGCAGCAGCCGTGGGAGAGAATGAGGTCACCTCGCGGCGAGGGGCGCTAGAGGAAAGGCCGGGGCCCTCAGGCCGCCAGTCCAGCGGCTGGGAAGAGGAAGGCCCAGCAGAGGAGGGCGAGGAGAGCCGCTGGTGAAGGGAGGAGACAAGCAGGTGACTCCGCGGAGCCCCTGGAGGAAGCAGGGTCAGCTGGGGCCGGTGGTGGGGGCGCAGGGGCAGCGTGGAGACTAGACGGTGTCAGTAGAATGTGGGAGCAGACGTCCACGTGGGAGGCCCCAACTCAAAACAAAAAAGAATGAGGAAAATACAGGCACGGCAGACACGGGCCGGGGCTCCCCAGGGCAGAGGCTCAGTGAGGATTAAAAATAAAAAAAAGGACGAGGAAAACTCAGTGGAAAAACTCAGCACTTAGTCATGAAAAAACCCAAAACAAAACCGACCACACTTAAACCGGGAATGGAAAGGGCCGTCTTTCCTCCGCTGAAGAGTCGCTGTAAAAACACTGCTCCTTTCTGCCTTGGCCGGGTAGCTCAGAGCATCGTGCCAGGAGCCCAAGGTTGTGGGTTCGATCCCCGGTCAGGGACATACAAGAAGCAACCAATGACTGCACGAGTAAGTGGGACAACAAATCTGTTTCTCTCAAGTCAATAAAGTATTTTAAAAATGGATGTTTTTCTCTTGGGTTGGGAGGGAATGGGGAATGGGGTAGAGATGGGCAGTGTAGACAACTCTTTTGAGAAGTTCTGCTGTGAAGGAGACTTGATGGCAGGAAGTAGGGGGGCGGGGAAAGGGGGGGTCTTTAGGATGACACTAGAGCTTGTCTCTGTGACAACAGGAAGGAGCCGGCACAGGGAGGGTGTCAGTGCCGGGGGACAGCCTTGGGCAGGAGAGCAGAGGTGAGTGCTGAGCCCAAGTGGAAGCCGGGCATGTGGCCTGACCTCCCGTGGTCCGTCTCACGGAGGCGGCAGGAACGGAGCCCGCGCCAGGCTCAGGTTTAGAGTGAGCTGGCCTCCTGCTGACACTGCTGGGCCGCGTGGCTGCTCCAAGACCCC